GTCAGGGGTCACAGTGTCACTGTCAGGGGTCACAGTGTCACAGTCAGGGCTGCCTGGGAGTCCCAGCTCACCTGGGAAATGACAGAATTCACAGAGTGACCAGGATGGAAAATCAAGATCATCGAGCCCAGCCCAGCCCTAACCCCTCCAGTGACCCTTGGCACCCAGGGCCACTTCCAGGCTTTATTTAACACACCCAGAAAGCTCAAAAATCCCGAGTTTCTGGGATCCAACAGAACCTTTCCCTAAAATCCAGCCTGACCCAGCTCCAGCCATTCCCAGGGTGACAGCACAGAGCAGGAGCTGGGAATTCCACAGCAGGAATTTCTTGGCTTCTCCCATATCTGGAGCTCTCAGCAGGGTGGGGAAGATCTCATTAATCTCATATATGTATCTCATATGTATCTCATGTATATAATATATATATCATATATATAATATATATTTCATAATATATATCTCATATATATCTCATATATATCTCATATCTCATTTATATCACATATATATCTCATATATATCTCATTTATATCTCATTTATCTCATATATATCTCATATATATCTCATTTATATCTCATTTATCACATGTATCTCTCATATATCTCTCCTATATCTCTCATTTATATCTCATATATATCTCATATATGTCTCATTTATGTCTCATTTATATCTCATATATCTCTCCTATATCTCTCCTATATCTCTCATTTATATCTCATATATATCTCATATATCTCACATATATATCTCATATATATGTCATTTATATCTCATTTATATCTCATTTATATCTCATTTATATCTCATATATATCTCATTTTTATCTCATTTCTCACATCCTAAATCCCTGAGCACAGGAGTCACCTCAGCAGTGTCACAGCCAGGGCCCAGCAGGGATCTGAGGATTCTTTCTCAGACAAATCCACAGCGAGTTCCTTTATTTTAAAGTCACGTTCAAGACTCAAAACTTGATTTTTTTTTTCTCTGAGCAAGTAGCAAGTTCAACCTGCACAAAATGTGTTCCAGTGCTTTCATTAAGAAGAGGGAGCCGAGTTTAAATGAGCTTTAATCACCCAGAGCAAGTTTTCCTCTTGGAAATTTCACCACTTGTGTTTTTGTGCCACGAAACCACAAGAATTTGTTCCACCCTCTCGATTTAACGAGGAGCTCTACGTGATGCTGTTACTGTGTGAGAATTTTGTTCCTGGCCTTTTTTATTTCTGAGTAACTTTCAGATCCCAGCCTCAGAATCTGTTTTGTTTCTTTTTTTTTTTTGTTTTTTTTTAACGAGCAGAAATCTTTCATGTCCCTGTGCTTAACCACTATAAATCTTAAAATAGGTTTGGAGAATGTTGTGGTTTCGAATGGATTCGAGTTTATTTTATTTTCCCTGCTGTGTGTATTAAAAGAATTTTTAAAAAGCTAAAGGAGGAAGGAGGCATTTGAGGAGAAAAAGGGGGATTTTTTTATTTTGGCTGCATTTAATTTCACTTCTTTAATTTCTGTGGGTTTCATTGCAGCAGTGGCTTTATCTCCACTGCAAAATAAATACAAAAATGGGAAGAGTTTTTAATTGGTTTGATTAATAGGAATGACTCAGGTCAAATTGAGGTCTGCTCTGAAAATTCACACACATTTCCTTTTCTGTCCAGGCTTTTTTTACACAAGAACATATTTTCTTTGTTTATTAAATATATCTCGAATATCCTTTCTGTAGAGCTAAAAACTCGAGTAGCAGCTTGGTGTTCACCCCAATCCAAGGCAGGATTGCTTCCATACCTTTAAATTTGAGGAAAATATGAGTGGTTGATATAATTTCTGTTCTTTGCAGAGATGAGAATGGGGAAATAATTGCAATTAAGTTCTTTTAGTGCTGTGTGGGAGCAGGGTGGGGTTTGTAGCTCATCATCATCCCTGGCTGTGGGGGAGATGAGAATTGTTGGAACCCTGGAAATGAAGAATTTTAAATTTTCTGTGCTGCCAGGCACTGACCCCCAGGAAAACTCTGCTTTTGACCTGAGAACGTGGAGAGAAAAAAAAAAAAAAAAAGCTGAAAAATTCCAAAATTGAATGCTAGAACTGGGATGATGGGTGTGTAGTTTGAACAGAATGTGGAATATCACATGGGGGAAAATTTAGAGTTTAAAGTTTTGGAAGTTTTATCAAGATGGAGGTTTTAGGACAGAGGTTTCCTTCTTTTTCACCTTCCTCTTCATGGGTTTAGGTGGTAATTTTGTAATTGGGTAGAAAATTCCACTTTGTGGGCCACGGGTGTGTGGTTATTGGGTTAAAAGTAAAAAATAATTGAGGTGTCATTTCTTACTTGGACAGTTTTTCCTTCAAAGGCCTTGCAGAGAGTGAGTTTTTAGTTTGTTGGCTTGAAGTGCTGTAGAACTCACTGTAATTTAGATAAGAATTCATAAAACATCTGAGTCTGAACAAGAAATTCTGTCTGGAGCTTTTAATCGTGACCCTGGCAAAAAAAAGAAAATAAAACACAATGGTGACCCAAACCAAACTCCTGGGCTTTGGGCTCTCAAACCCCAGGGAAGGCTCTTCATGCAAAACCAGGCACTGAATTTGGCTTAAATTTTCTCCTTTGGAGCTGAAAACCTCACCACTGTCCCTGTAACTCCAAATTTGTGGCATTTCCCTGTGAAAAGAATGAGAATCCTGCCAGGAACTGCCCCACTGTGGTGGCAGAGAGAAATTGAAGCCTGGGCTCCCTTTTTAATGGTTGCAATGTCTTCCCTGAGACTTCCAAAATTTATTTATTTACCTGGGTCTATATTGCCCCAAACAGGGTGGGTTATAACATATCCATGTTTAATTACAGCCTGGGAGCTGCAGGAACAGGGTGTGGGAATGGGACTGATTTTATGAGGGTGGAAGCAGTGAAGGGCATGGGAAGTATTTTCATTAATTAGAGATAATTAGAGAAGGAATGGCAGGAGGGGGCTCTTCAGCAGGCAGGTTTTGATGTCTTGTTCAGTTTTGTTCCTGCAACAAAATTTTTCTGTCCCTTTTATCAAAACCCTCCAGCAGAGCAGTCTGGAAAGCACCAGAGGTTTATTTTTAGTGGGTGAGGTTTTTGTGAAATAATGTCCCAGGGAAAGGTGAGGCCCTTAAAGACACTTAAAAATCTTAAAGGCACCACTTAAACCTTGGCAGTGCCAAGTGCTGCAGAATTTACTGCATGGCTCTGACCTTGTGGTGCCACCAAGTGCCAGGTATTTCTAGTAAAATAAAACTTGTGGGGTTCTGATTTTGTGGTGTTAAAAAGTGCCAGGTATTTCGAATAAAATAAAACTTGTGGGGTTCTGATTTTGTGGTGTCACAAAGTGCCAGGTATTTCTAATAAAATAAAACTTGTGGGGTTCTGATTTTGTGGTGTTAAAAGGTGCCAGGTATTTTCAGTAAAATAAAACTTATGGGGTTCTGCTGCTGCACACATTTCACAAGGGTTGCTGAGCTGAAGTTTCCAGGTTTTCCTTGATTAAAGTTGCCCTTTTTCTTCTTTTTTTATTTTTTTTTAATTTTTTTTTTTTGCCTCAGAACAACAAAACCACGCAGTTCAGGCACGTGCAGCAGCTCACCTACAGCCTGATAGAGTGGAGATCCCAAATCCTCTCTGGGACCCTGCCCAAGGATGAACTGGCTGAGCTGAAGAAAAAAGTCACTGCCAAGATCGACTATGGCAACAGGTGAGCTCCAAACTCCACCTGGAGGGCAGGCGAGGCTCTGAATGCAAACCAGGCATTGAATGAGGGTTGATTTTTTATTTTTGTTTTTCCCCTTGGAAAGGGTTGGAATGGCAGCTTTGAGTCCCCATGACAACCTGGCAGGTGCACGTGGAGCAGTTGGTTCTTGGTGTGCCTTGGCAGGAATTCTCCTCTCTTAATTCTGCACAGATCCTGGCAGGGGGTGGCTTTCCCTTGGAGCACAGTTTGCACCTGGATTTTTGATGCTGGTGGGAAATTCTCTTGTTTTATCAGCAGCTGAGGGCAGGATTCCATAAACACTGCAGCCCTCGGTGGTTTGCAGTCTCCAGGACTCATTTATCTGCCCCTTGGCTCTGATTCAAGGCCAGTAAAGTGAATTAAGAAAAAGCTTATGGCCAAGAATAACAACGAGCTTGGTTCCATTCATCCACCTTTGAAACAAAGCCATTTTAGCAGGACTAATGGAGATGTCATTTTAGGATTGAGTTACCTGGCTAATTCCTTCTGCCTTTAATGGGAAAATGGGAGAGAGGAGTTTTTGGAGGCAGGAAAACCAGCAGTGAGTGAGGTTATTGCAAGGGATGTTGAGCACTGGCAGCCCTGGGCAGTGATTTGATCTTTGCTGCTCCCACATCCTGGAATTTTTTTGGTTTTTTTTTTTTTTTTGTTTCCTGGGGCTGTCCAGGATCCTGGGTCTGGACCTGGTTGTCCGAGATGACAATGGCAACATCCTGGACCCGGATGAGACCAGCACAATCTCCCTGTTCAAGGCCCATGAAACTGCATCCAAGAGGATTGATGAGAGGATCCAGGAGGAGAAGGTACCTCTGGGGCCCCTCTTCAGTCACTGTGCCCAATATTCCAATATATTGTCCTCAATATTTTCATATTCCTCTTAATGCTGTGCTCCTTTGGCAGCAGAATTAATTAAATTAATTGTATTTGTTCATATAAATTTAATGGAATTCTTTGCAGTCCCTGCAGCAGAGTTTGGACCTCAGGGGGCAGCCAATTTTCAACTCCACACACACTTACAGCCTCTATGTGAACTTCAAGAACTTTGTCTGCAACATTGGGGAAGATGCAGAGCTGCTGATGAGCCTCTACGACCCTGACCTCTCCAAATTCATCAGGTAGGGGCTTTTTTTTTTTTTTTGGAGATTCTTCAGCAGTTTAATCATCGGGGTGATCGTTCTGAAGAAGTCAGCAGGTTCAAAAAGGAGATCCAGAAGATGTTTTCCAGTTCTGTTGGTTGCTGCCCCAGTGGGGGAAAATTAATTCCAATTATTTTGGCGTGAATTTCAGAGAGATGGGAAGCCCAGGCACTGTCCCTCCTAAAACTGGGGATTTCATTCATCCCACACTGTCTTTTTATATTCTCAATTTTCCCTGCTGTGCCTGCAAGCCTTGGTTAAACATTTTGTTAATTGTTTCCCAGTAAATCATGGATTTCAGTGGTGTCCAGTCAGTGCCAGCTCCCATCTGAAGAGTTGGGGAGGATATGAGGAACTTTATCAGGGAGGCAGTTCCGTGTCAGGAACACTCTGTGTCCATCACTGCCCTTATCAGGTGTGGCCATGCAGGGGGAATTGTCCAGGGCAGCAGCTGCCAGGGCTCCCCCCATCCTTCCCCCAGTAATTGAGTCACTTCAGAAGCATTTTGGGATCAAAGATTGGAACAAATATTCCTAAAAGATCAAAATGCTTTTGGGCTTTTGCCAGGAAATGGAGATGTCGGGTGTTGATTTGTTAAAATTGACTTTTTTTTCTCCCTTTCTTTGCAGTGAGAATTACCTGGTTCGTTGGGGCAGCAATGGGATGCCCAAGGAGATTGAGAAACTGAACAACCTCCACGCAGTGTTTACTGTGAGAATCCCAAAATCAGAGAACCCCAGAATGGGTTGGGAGGGACCTGAATCCCACCCAGAGCCACCCCTGCCATGGCAGGGACCCCTCCCACTGTCCCAGGCTGCTCCAGGCTGGTTTTGGGCACTTCCAGGGATCCAGGGGCAGCCACAGCTGCTCTGGGAATTCCATCCCAGCCAGGAATTCCTTCCCAATATCCCACCCATCCCTGCCCTTTGTCAGTTTGAAGCCATTCCTGTGTCCTGGCACTGTAAATTTCTCCATCCCCTCCTCGTGGTCTGTCTCCAGATCCAGAATTTCACAACTTTTCCCTGTGTATAACCCAACAAAACCCCTCCCTCCTCCTCTCCTTTCCCACCCAGAAAAGACATTGTTAAAGCTTAATTTTAACTCTTTCCTTTTCTCCAGGACTTGAGCAGTTCTGACCTGATCAGGCCCAGGATCAGCCTGGTGTGCCAGATCGTGCGGGTGGGGCACATGGAGCTGAAGGATGGCAAGAAGCACACCTGTGGGCTACGGCGGCCCTGCGGCGTGGCAGGTGGGCACTGGGACCACCAGCATGGCCCAGGGAACCCCTGGGGGCTACTGGGACACCAGCATGGACCAGTGAAACTCTGGGGGCTACTGGGACACCAGCATGGACCAGTGAAACCTTGGGGGGCACTGGGACACCAGCATGGACCAGTGAACCCCTGGGGGGCTACTGGGACACCAGCATGGACCAGTGAAACCTTGGGAACTACTGGGACACCAGCATGGACCAGGGAACCCCTGGGGGCTACTGGGGCCACCAGCATGGACCAGTGAAACCTTGGGAACTACTGGGACACCAGCATGGACCAGGGAACCCCTGGGGGGCTACTGGGGTCACCAGCATGGACCAGGGAACCCCTGGGGGCTACTGGGACACCAGCATGGACCAGTGCACCCCTGGGGATCACTGGGACCACCAGCATGGCCCAGGGAAACCTTGGGGGACACTGGGACACCAGCATGGACCAGTGAACCCCTGGGGGCTACTGGGACACCAGCATGGCCCAGTGAAACCTTGGGGGCTACTGGGATACCAGCATGGACCAGTGAAGCCCTGGGGTGTCACTTTAAGGCTAGGGAGCAGTGAAGAAATACAGGCTTCACTTAGAAAGTAGAAGAAGTGATTGATTGCAGGAGTAGAAAGTAGAAATTGCATTTTCACAGACTGGTCCTCTGAACCTTTCTTTGCCTTGAAATGCCCCAGTCCCACCTGGTTATTTCTCAGAGGGTGTATTTTATCAGAGTATTTTATCAGAGTATTTTATCAGAGTATTTTATCAGAGTATTTTATCAGAATATTTTATCAGAGTATTTTATCAGAGTATTTTATCAGAATATTTTATCAGAATATTTTATCAGAGTATGTTATCTCAGAGTGTATTTTATCAGAGAGTATTCAATATATTCACACTCACTGCTGTGGGCTGAGCTGCACATCAATGTAAACGTGCTTTTAAAAAAAGTTAAAATGAGAGTGATGCCTCCATTGCTGTCAGAGAATCCCAGATATTTTGGGATCCCAAAAATCCCATCCAGCTCCACCCCTGCCATGGCCAGGACTCCTCCCAGGTCGCTCAGAGCCCTTGTTGTGACACTGGCCCAAAATAACCCCTGGTTGTTTCTGTTCTGGGAGGGAGAAGCTCTCTGTGCTTCCTGGCAGCTCTCAGTGATGCTCTGGTGTCGTTGCAGTGATGGACATCACTGACATCATCCACGGCAAGGTGGACGACGAGGAGAAGCA